CTCATAATTGTGCGCATGCGTGCAGGCGCTTATGAGCGTTTGTGGGCAGATACTTATGCGCATGTTCACGTGTTTAATCATGGCGCCAAAAGGCCTATTTAAACTTGTATCTTGCATGCACTCAGTGCTGAGAGTTCTTCCGCTAGTGCCCTGCTTCCGGTGTCTCTGTTCCTGATTCTATTGTTCCTGATATTGACCCGGCTTGTTCTTGGACTCTGCTGATTGCTGCCTGCCCCTGACCTTGGCTTGATCTGGACCTTCCTTCCGTTTGCTGATTCCACACTGCCTTGCCTGCACGTTACCGAGCCCGCCTGCTCCTGACCCTGCCTCTGTTTGCTGATTTGTACCTCGCTTCCCGCCTGATCGTGACCCAGCTTGTTCCTTAATTCGGCTCTGCTCTGCACCGGTGCCAGCTTCACCCATTGCCGACGCCATATTCCAGGAAGTGACTGTCATCATCGTCCTTCAGACTGGTCCACCTGCATCTCCAGCTCCGGGTGTATCCACTTCATCAGGCACTCGTGCCCCTCTTCTGTCCCTACACCCTCTGTCCATCATTACCAGGGGTGTTTGTACAAGAGAAGCAAGGGAGGCCGTACTCGTCATCTCAGGCTCTTACCAGGTACATGACACAACTTCTCAGTCTGCACTGCCATAGTATGTGGTTATTAGTAGAGTGAGGTGTAATAAACGGAAGCAGAAAGGTGAATGAAACTTTCATAGCAACAACATCCAGAGTTAGTGCGGCCCCAGTGGCCCGAGAAGGGACAGTCTAACAGGGGCCCTGCTTAGTCACTTTATACCTCCAGGCATTCGTTCTGATCGCCAGCAGAATTAATAGGATAATTAGGCTTTGGTAAGAGGTTTCAAAGAAGAGATTGAGCCATTCTTCCATGTCATGGGCTTCAGAAATTAAAAGCGCCGGCTAGCTAAATGCAGGCTAAATAAATTTTATGAAACGCGTTGGGCCATACACGGTATTTGATGGAGGATTTCACGTGAAATGTAAATGTAATTTGGTGTAATCTATTTCAATTAGACATCGCTGCTAAATATAACCATTACAGGGTGCAGGGGCAATTGAGAATGATGTTTCATTAGCAATGGAAATGGGATGATTAGAGGAAAAATACGGGAAGTTCAAGGTGAATTTTTTTTTCTTTTTTTTTTTAAATTAGCATTCGATCAGAAAACTCTGCATTGTTTTTTATTGGATTTCCATCATTAGGAAAAAGTACAGAGAACTCTCACAAAGTGTATGCTATAAGGGTAGGGGCAATGAGAAGCAGAGGCGATATCCAGAACAGCCTCCGTCTGCTGAATAATGTGACAATAGTGTTTGGTGTCACTCTCTGCTGAATAATGTGAGAATGGTGTTTGGTGTCACTCTCTGCTGAATAATGTGACAATGGTGTTTGGTGTCACTCTCTGCTGAATAATGTGACAATGGTGTTTGGTGTCACTCTCTGCTGAATAATGTGACAATGGTGTTTGGTGTCACTCTCTGCTGAATAATGTGACAATGGTGTTTGGTGTCACTCTCTGCTGAATAATGTGACAATGGTGTTTGGTGTCACTCTCTGCTGAATAATGTGACAATGGTGTTTGGTGTCACTCTCTGCTGAATAATGTGACAATGGTGTTTGGTGTCACTCTATGCTGAATAATGTGACAATGGTGTTTGGTGTCACTTTCTGCTGAATAATGAGCCAATGGTGTTTGGTGTCACTCTCTGCTGAATATTGTGACAAGGGTGTTTGGCATCACTCTCTGCTGAATAATGTGACAATGGTGTTTGGTGTCACTCTATGCTGAATAATGTGACAATGGTGTTTGGTGTCACTCTCTGCTGAATAATGTGACAAGGGTGTTTGGTGTCACTCTCTGCTGAATAATGTGACAATGGTGTTTGGTGTCACTCTCATTCAAACGTTTGTTCAGAAAACTGTTTGTGTTACCCTCAGCATCCAATCTAATTCTCTTTTTGAACTTTTGAGGGGTTAAATGCGAAATGCTAAACAGATATTCATTTTGTTTTTGCTGCGATGAGAATACTAGCAAAATATAATTACAAACAGCATCAAACATTGCATTGACACTAGATATTGGGTGCAATGCTCTGGTTACTGCAGATTCTCCCTCCTGTCCTTGGCCGTACCTAGGTATGGATATTCAATAACAGGGACTGGAGTATGAATGAGTGGACTGCAAATACGACATGTGCGATTCGTTTCGTTACGAATCGAAATTCGTACCAATTTTCCTGAAATTCATGAATTCGGAAGCATCCGAAATCCGAATTGCAGTTTCCGAATTTATATCCGAAATACGAAATTCCGTTTCGGATCCGAATTTCTTTGAAACAGGAACTAATATTACCCCTGTAAATGAGGTTGAACAACATGACAAGATTTTTTTTTTAATCCGAAATACGGATCCGCTGCTGCTGAGAGTTGCATTACAATACAGGCAGGAAATACGAAATTCCGTTGACGTATTTTCGTTCCGTTACGAACTTTCGTTATATTGAAGTTAAAAAGCAAAGTACATTTATATTGGAGTTGATGGTAGTTTTTTTTATCCGAAATTCGGATCCGGAATCCGTTAACGGAATTCATATTTCGGATAAAAAAACAACAACTACCACATCGACTCCAATATGAACAAAGGTATTTTTGCTTTTTAACTTCATCATAACGAATGTTCGTAAAGTTACGAAAATGTGCCGAAACTAAAGAAAATACGTATTTCGTACGAATCCGAATTGAGTTTTGGACACGAATTCCGAAATAACGGATGTTCCGAAACGGAACAAATTTTTTGCCGGCGCATAAGTCTACTGCAAATGCAGTGACTTCATTAAGCCTGGAAGACTGAGGACATCTTGTGACTAAGAAGAGGTACTGCAGGGGACAGCTTCAGATTAAAGATGAGCATTACAACCTGAGCAGGTTGGAGGTGATGCAGGAAGCTACAGAGCAGACTTTGAATAGTGGTGTCACCCTTTGCCTTTAAAAGGCAGCAGTGTTTGAGGACACCCTCTAGCCATACAGGGTGACAGTGGCTGAAGCTAATTGTCTTAAGCTGATTGGTTGGACATCCACTTGCCAGGACAGAAATAATATGCAATTGCAAGCTTGGTTTTGCAGTGTTCTCCTCATCCTCATTCTTGCTTCACTATGGTGAGCTACTGACCCATAACAAGTATGCAGCTCTTGGGTCCAGACTTCACTGATTGCATACTTGTTCCAGGTCAGTGTCTGCCAAAGTAGTCAAGCCCATGAGCTTCCAAGTCTGCAATGGAATCCCCTGTATATTTCTAACCTGAGAGGTAATCTTGAGTTTTACAGCAACAACAACAAAGCTCATGTAAAATTGGAAGAACGCAAAGCGAATGTCACCACCATATTCTGTCTTCATTTTCTACCAAGTAGTACATAAGTAAGAGACAGAATATGGCTGCTAAAGGCAACACAAACATATTTCTGTGTTCTGAACACAAGTTATGACACATTTCAGATAACCAGTTCTTACATATCCGGACTGCAATAGTTTCATTTATTCAGGATTGTTTTCCCAGATTTTCACCTGGTAATCTTGTCAGTAACGCGTCCTGTCCTAGGGTGACTATTCTCACTCACTGTATTGTATCTATAGGGGGACAATACTGTCATGAGGCTGCTCTCCTGATTTGGACTACTACCACCTCCCCTTTTCATTATCTCCATTAAATAGAGTAGGGATTTTGTAGTTCAAAGCAGATAGCTGGGAACACTGATAACATTGTTTGAGAGTTTAGCATGCAGGAAATGACAAGGACATTGGATTTCTAGGAGGCGGAACAGGTAAATCTGAAAAAAATTATTTTCTTGAAGACTTTTAGCTGGTCATCCGACTAGCTTTCTCAATTCAGAAATTAGTGTCTTTTTTTCTTTATTCTGACACGCGATGTCAGAATAGAAAGAAGAAAAAGGTTTTTCCCATTGAAAAGCATTGGGACATTACTATTGGCCATTTCAATTTGCAATAGCCAATAGTAAACTAGCATTGTTCCCGCCCTCTGCTGATGGACCTGATGGGGAACTGCAGCAGAGGGCGGGTACAATGCTAGTTTACTATTGGCTATTGCAAATTGAAATAGCCAATAGTAATGTCCCAATGCTTTTCAATGGGAAAAATCTATTTTTTTCTATTCTGACATCGCTCCGTGTCAGAATAAAAAAAAAAAAAAGACACAGCGGTGCTTCTCTCCTTGGCGGCCGGGAGGCTCCCAGAGCGCCCGGGAGAGTTTTGTTTTTTTCGTTGTTTTTTTTTTTACAGCAGCAGAGCCGCCGGACAGTAGGAAACTATTGGGCGGAGCTAGCTGTCACTGCTAGCTCCGCACAATCGTTTGCTATTTACTTTTTTCACTGTTTTTCTGTTCTGCTCGGTACCTCTGAGGGAGGCATTCGGCTATTCACTCACTGCTGTTCGGGATCTTTAAGAATAGCCCGAACAGCAGTGAGTAGCCCGCCGGAGGTTCGGCTGCGCCGATCCAGATGTTGGATCAGCTGAGTCGAACTCCTTCTGCACTTCGGGTCGGCCGAACATGCTGAGCATGTTTGGCCGACCCGAAGCAAGCCGATGTATGGCTGATTTCAGCCGATGTACGGCTGAAATTAGCCGTACCAGCCTGAAGTGAAGAGACGAAAACAGTGTTCGGCTCACTTCACTTCAGATCGGTCATTCACTCGGCTGCCCTCGGCAGCTTCGTGAATAGACCCCTTAGTGTTTGAATTGAGAAAGCTAGTCAGATGACCAGCAAAACATCTTCAAGAAAAATACAGCAAGTCCAGTTGCTTTGATTTATTTATTTTTTTTAGATACACCATAACCTGGATGAATGAGAACATTCACAGACAACAGGTATATTTTTATTCTTCAAGAAAATGTACTAATGCAGCCATCACATTTAAGGACTGGCAGCTGCAATACATTACATATTTTTGTTCTCAGGTTTAAATATCTTTTTATTCAAGGCACTTTTGGATGATTTGCACAGTCTGATAAGTTCCACTACAACATATCACATTCTCTTTTAGCGTATTCTACGCAGGATTATTGGTCTTGTTTTGGTTGATCTCTTTCATAAACTTGAAAGACGTAACTGACTCCTTTTTCTTCCTGAATCCCAGATGGAACACCTGGGAAGCTAATGGTTAAAAAGAGAGAGAGGAATAAACATTATCAACATGTTTTATGAATTAGGAGAATATGAACTATAAATCTGAATTTTTTTGATGGGGTCGGGTCCTGCCAAAAGTGATATTTAACATATAGGTTGGATGTGGCCAGTAGAGTCACCTGATGGCTCAAGCTGCAAGATCTTCCTACTATCATTCTAGCTCCATTCCCACCCAATTTGTAGTCTTGATTATGGCCACTAGATGGAGCAGAGTAAATAAATACTTGTTTCCTCTACTGCTTGGCTCCATCTAGTGGCCATAATGCAGTATTACATCACAATACATTCAACCTGAAAAGAAAATATATAAGTGGTGCTCATAGTGTTCTGTGATGAAACTTGGGGATAATTGTGGCATGGCTTGATAGTAACTGGCCTGTAGGTGATCACATTATAGTAATAATGGTTCTCTTAATAGTGGCAACTTGATAACACAGGGGTAGGCAACCTTGGCTCTACAGCTCTTGTAGAGCTACAAATCCCATGAGGCATTGCAAGACTCAAGAATGATAGCACTTGTAGTTTCATCACAGCTGGAATGCCAAGGTTTCCTACCCTGTGATAATATGTTTTCAACAAAATGGCAATCCTGACAAAACATGGGCTACAAATGGGCAATCATTACAACATGCATACAGAAAACAAGCAAATGTGACAATATGTAGGCAACAAACTGGCAATGGTGACAATATATGGGCAACAGCAGCTGTAGAGGAGGTAAGAATTGCAGCAAAAGTGTCTTTATTTTTTTTTTTTACATATGCTGAGCTACGGACTGCTTATTTAAATTTGACATCAAAAGTGAAGTGGGGCTAGAAACATGTACTCACTAGGAATATACTATACTTTCCCTTAACATTTCGATGTATTAAAACCCATTTCTTTCAATGAAAATCACTTCTGTAACTGGATTCGAATCTCCATAACAATAACCTAATAATTCTTTAGTATGTCGGCTAACTGAAATTGCTATGGAGAACGAATAGCAACTACTCCATTTGTACCTGTAGCAGGTCCTCAGTCCTGCTGGTCAGCATATTGAAACAAGATTTTCCATCTGGTATATAACTGATAGTTGTGTAATTAACTTTATGGACTTTGTGGAAGATTGGGCAATCAAAAGGAACCTCACATATACAGTAGCAATGCAATTCAATAGAAATACAAAATTACAGGAGACCTAAACTAAAGGCATTAGGAAGAGTGCAGGGTAGGGGTATTGAAGGTCAGAAAAAAAAATTTGGCTAGGTGTCGGCTGTGGTACGTACATTGTGCAGTGTTCTTGTTCCAGCATTTTAGATCACATGGTCTGCAACAACATTTTGGGTTGCAACGTCAGCAGTCTTTACTCGCTTTAAGGACTCCGCTGACATTGACCCTAGTGCACCACTGTCCATCATCCAACAGCAGAGTGGCATGTGGCTGGTTATTACATCTAATGGGCCGACTTAGGAATACCCTTACCCACCCTTCCTAATGCTTCCACTAGGGTTTAGTGTTAGAGGGAAGCTGTTGACTTTTTTTTTTTGTAGGTTTGTACCTCAACCTACAGTGAACCTGTGCTTTTCATATATATATATATATAAGAGATTTCTGATTCCTAGAAATCTGTTAGAGTTTCAGCCTTCAATTTATTACAAATCTCTATATGCCAGAAAAATGCATTACGCTCTTCATTATGGAAATCTCTAAAATGCTTAGGTACACTGTGGGTTCTGTAACCTTTTCCGATTTTATTTACATGTTCTATTTTTTTTATATAACTTTTTTACTCCATACTGTAGTCCACATGGGCACTCTAATACAAAGGTTGCAATATAGTGGGTATAGGGACCTGTACAAACTTTTATTTGGGGTTTTGCTTTTGGGGTAATAAGTATTGATGTTTGAACATAGATATACAGGTGAAACTCGAATAATTAGAATATCGTGCAAAGTTCATTTATTTCACTAATGCAACTTAAAAAGGTGAAACTAATATATGAGATAGACTCATTACATGCAAAGCAAGATAGTTCAAGCTGTGATTTGTCATAATTGTGATGATTATGGCTTACAGCTCATGAAAACCCCAAGAACCCCAAATCCACAACCTCAAAAAAGTAGATTATTACATGCAATCAATAAAACAAGGATTGTACATAGAACAATATCGGACCTCTGAAAAGTACAAGCATGCATATGTACTCAGTACTTGGTTTGGGCCCCTTTTGCAGCACTTACTGCAATTACTTTTGCACGATATTCTAATTATTCGAGTTTCACCTGTAGAACATTTCAATGATTATTCATTTTGTGAGGTGCAACGCAGAGACCATAATTTTTGCAAGTATAAGTAATGGGATGCACCTCGATTTAGCTATATATTCAAATTTACAAGTTGGTAGGTAGCTTTGGGTCACGTTTAAGCTTTTTAAGATTTCATAATAATCTAGCCTATCTGCTGCGTCAACCAGCCTTGTGGCACTCTGCTGCTGGAGGACGGGCAGAGGTGGTTCCCTGGGGGTTAATGTCAGCAGAGTCCCAAAAAATTAGAGCTGCTGCAGGCTGTGTAGCTGAATGAAATTACCTGGAATTGGAACACTCTGGCCAGCTGTGATATGTGTATGCCAAACGTTTATTCTGACTTCAATACCCCTACCCTCCACCCTTCCTAATGCCTTTAATTTAGTTTAGGTTCCATTGAATTATATTGATACTGTATATGTGAAGTCCCTTTTGATCTTCAAGTCTCCCGCTGAGCCCACAGAGTTGATGAAACAACTATCACAGTTATGCATTAGAAGGCAAATCCTGTTTCATTATGCCTACCAGCAAGACTCAGGACCTGCTACAGATACAAATGGAGTAATTACAACTCGTTCTCCATAGCAATTTTGCAGCTAGCCGACATACTAAAATAATTAGTAGGTTATTGTTATAGGAATGAAAATTCAGTGACTGAAGTGGTTTTGATTGAAACGACAGGGTTTCTAATACATACAAATGTTAAAGGGAAAGTAAAGTATATTCCTAGTGCATATATATTTTGAGTTATGATAAAGGCCCACTCCACCTTTAAAATGAATGCTGAACTTCAGGGACAACAACCTGCCCTATCTGTTCTGGTATCCCCTGTTACTGAGACAAAAAGTAAACTGTGACATTTTGGACTTCTCGCTTTCCATCCCAGTGGATACCGGAGCAGATGGTGAAGGAAATCCAAAATGTTACTGTTGTCACCAGAACAGGAGTAGAGGGATAATCTTCCAATATGGACACCCGTTCCAGTGACTAATGGCCTAATTTTTGGAGATTTCCTCTCACTTCCTGTCAAAGGTTTCCTTTAAAGAAGGCATCTGTTGCCTCCTTTCGCCACTGAACGTAAGAATAATAGTTGTTAAAGTTGAACTCCAAGAAAACAGAAAATGACTTTGTAAGTCTGTCCATTTAGTCCTGAGACTTATACAGCATAGTTGTCTCCTGAGGGTAGGAGAGCTACACACTGCAGCATAACTGACTGGCTCCTTGTGCTGCTTCTTCCTCTCTAAATCTGATCTCTGCTGCACAGGGGATTGCAAGAGGATGATAGCAAGTCAAATTCAGGCATCTAACCTGCTTTCATTTTGAAAAGTACATTTACTATTGTATTAATGAATATGGAGCTGCTTTTTATCTACCTGGAGTTCACCCTTAACAGACACAATACCAGATTTCAGAATAACTTACTTTTCTTTTAACTTGAAGACATCTTTGTCAAACTCTGGGAAGAAGGTGTCACTTTCAAAGTCTGCCATGATCTCAGTGAAATAAATGTGGGTACACAAAGGGTGCCTCATCATATTCTGCAAAGAGAAATCACTGTTCGGTATAGCAAGAATATTTATCCAATGAGTAAGTCTGATATACTATGGTTGAATTACCAAATGTATAAATTAAATTAGTACACAGTAACACAAAAATACACCGCTGCAGGTCTTTTTTTTCTGCAGGCCTAGTATGTGAGACAGGGACCTTAAATTGTAAACCTTAAATTGTAAACTCCTTGAGGACAGGGACTCAGTACAGTAGGTAAAGCTCTGCATAAATGGTCAGTGCTAAATAAATGCTTGTAAAATACATTTCCTGTCTATTTCACAGGTCTCTGCTTGAACAGGAGAAGAGGAGAAACCTCTCCCACCAGGTCACGGACAGAAATAACAGTTCTTGAAGTACAGTGGCGAAGGGTTCAAACCTTTGTCAGTGTTATGGCAGTCAAAATTATACAAAACGACACTGATCACATATAAGATACCACTTTCCAATCAGGGCACATTCACACTACCACGTTAAAGTAAAATACGTGCATTATTGTAATGTGCAGTGGCGCACCATACAGGTGCATAGTGCATTGCGGTGAAAAAATATGCAGAAGGACCAATTTTTTTGTTATCTTATAGCCCTGACTCAGCATGCAAAAGGCACGAAAACACTCTGGTGCATACGAGCCCTTAGAGATGGCCTGAAGTACAGTAATGCCTTGGTTTACAAGTAACTTGGTTTGAGAGTGTTTTGCAAGACAAGCAAACATTTCTGAAAAATGTTGCCTTGATATACAAGCAATGTCTTGCAATAAGAGCAACATTTTGTAGAAAACCACCACCGAATAAAGCTGTAGCAGTGCGAGCGATGAGTTTGTTTAACGACAATGCAATGTCACATTGGATAGATTCCTTGTTAAGGTTTCACGAAATGAAAAAGATTCCATTGAGTCAAGAGATAGCAGTGATTCCGTTAGCGATAGTGAAAGTCGTCCTACACAATTATCCTCCTCTCTCTTTTCCCCCTCACACCGGCCACGAAGGTAACCGGTAATTGGTTTATTTTTCTTTATATTTTGTACAGTATTATATTACAGTACAGTATTGTAATCATTTTTATATGAATATTTTGGGGTTGTGGAACGAATCATCTGAATTTCCATTATTTCCTATGGGGAAATTCGCTTTGATATACAAGCGCTTTGGATTACAAGCATGCTTCCGGAACGAATTATGCTCGTAAACCAAGGTATTACTGTATTACAGAGCTACAAAGTGTCTTGATGAGAAGTGTAGTTATGTTACAGACAATGCCAGTTGGCCATCTTGTTAGAATACAGCTCCCCCTAGTGGTCATCCCCCTGTGTACAACACTTACCTGGTAGCACTCTACACCTCCTAACACCCATATTGACTCAATCTCTTCAGACAGAGGAGACTTTGACACCAGTTCCACCACTTCATCTTCATCACGGCAGATGTAATGAGCATGCTTTGGCAAGTCACTAGACATAAAAAGTGATATTTGATAAAGTGTAAAGATAATAATAATTTAATATACAAGTTTCTATGACGTGCCACTACATGCGTCACAGCTGTCCATTTACAAGGAAATATCCGCTGATCCTGCCAGTTGTAATTGTGTGATTCTGACCATGTCAAAACGCAGAAGCAGATCACTGCTGGCTTGGTCAGTTTTCGTGCCTGATTGAAGCTACAGGACGCTGTACTCCGTGAGCTGTGCTGCTACAACCCCCAGCTCAGTCCTGAACCCTTCTAGAACGCAGCATACACAGACAGGGAACATACTTTCCTGCTGAGTGTGACGTCATTAGGCAGCCCACCCTCTGGCAAAGCTATGCCCCGTGCACTCAGAAGAGGCACTCATATGACGGGATGTGGTGTTGTGATTGACCTTGTATGGCCACATGGCTATATTTGGTCAGTACAAGCATCCCGCCCCTTTGTTTATGTGCAGCTGTGGAGGCAAGGAATGCCCCAGCCCATAGCTGATTGGGTGGGTGGCCCTATGTCCCTTCCAGGTCCAGTGGAGCTCAGGTTTGGACGGAGTTCAGTTCAGCTCATCCCTAGACATGAGCTCATCAGTCCACTTCTTTTCCACTAACCAGACACAGACTGGGGAAGGGACGAGACCTGTAATTGCTACTGAATTACAGTAAAGAAACAAATCTGCATCCTGCTCTACCAGGCAGAACTGGGCTGGGTAGCAGAGCTGTGTAAATCTCAGGGTTGGATGAACAGAAATACAAATCCTTTGGCAGGTAAAGCCGCCCACGTATATGTATTTCAATTGTTTGCTTGGTGTTTGAGATTGTGTGACCTCTGTCATTATCCTTTCCTACCTTTTCCTCTCTGCTTCTTTCATTCTAATATTCTCTCTCTATTTTTTTTTAATACAGTCTCTCTCCCGATGGTCACAGAAGCCCCCTTACCTCAGTTTCCTGGTCAGGAGGACTATGACAGTGTTTGCCAGAGGTAACAAGTTCTCATCAAAGGTCTCAAAGGACTTTCGGCCCCAGACAATCAGATTTTTCTTTCCTATAGACAAACACACAGTCAGAGGATTAATACAGAAAAGTACCCGAGCTGGAAGAGGAAGGCTGGCAGTTCTAGGAGAAGTAGAATATATTCTGTGACTTACCTGGCTGTTCTACTCTGGTTATTGTGTTTAACATATACTGATATTCATTCCTGAAAAAAACAAATCTTTAGTTAGAGATCTTCAGAATTTTAAAGAATCAGTACAATTCCAAACAACATACATTTATTCATGTTGCCTCCCCTTTCTTTACCTAAATTAGCCCACCCTTCCCCACCCCAGATGCATCCTTCCCTCCATCCCATGGTCACAGACCAGCACAATGTATTCAGCCTTCGGGTACTAAATTCTTCTTCAGTCTGGCCATGCCTGCACAGTGGAATTTTTTTTTAGGACTCCTAGAAGTCTATTAGGATAATCTGCTGGCATTGCTGATTCTCATATTTTTATTAAGTTTCCCCATGGGTCCCAGTGGATTCAGGGGTGCTGGGCAATTGCCCATTCTGTCCTGTTATAATCTACCAATAGACACTCTCATCTGCTTACAAAATTGTGCATCTCCACCTTGAGTATGTTTGCAGTGATATTATATATACTATGGAGGCTTTTACTAATATAATTTATTCTTTACGTAAGTATACAGTATATTAAAGCACATGCACATTGATCCCCATGGTTGCGTCTCTCTGGTTTGTAAAGCATGTGATCACATTCCCTCCCCTTCCCCAGCATAGCACAAGTTGCTATGTCTTGGTCTATGAACATTAACTGTTACTGAAACAGTACAGAATTGGACGTCAAATTTGAAATGCCATTCCAAACTAGTCTTAAAAAGGAGAACTATGGGGTTAGGGCTTTTCCCCATAGTTCTCCTTAGGGTAACGGGAGGACACAAACTAGCGTCCTCCCGTCACCCTATGCTCAGTATACCGCGAGCTACAGCTCACGGTATACTGAGACGCCGCAGCTGAAGGGGATCCCGACAATTATGTCTGGATCCGCCCAGCTACGTGAGTGACAGCTGGCTCTGCCTATCTGTACCCGCCCTCTCCCCCGTCCGTTCCACCAGTCAGCGCTGGCGGATCGGAGCGGGGAATCCAGCCCCTCCCCTGTCACGGCAGAGAGCAACGCCGGTATGTGTTCGCTCACCTCTCGATCTACTAAGCCGACCTGTGACAGTCTCATTGTCACAAGTCGGCTAGAACTATGAGGTGAGTGAAAAGCACTCACCTCATAGTTCTCCTTTAAAGGCAAAATAATAAATGCACACATAGGCATATGTAAATACACATATCTCTGTGTGGAAGCATAGGTATCTCTGCAGAGATCCAACACACCCCTACAGAGTCAGACTTGTATCTCTGCAATCAGCAACGTTCATTCTTACTGCTGATTGGAGAGCTCTGGCTCTGACAGAATGTTGGCACTATACAGAGAGAACACTGCTTCCACACAGAGAGCAAGAGTAGACAGGCTTGAGGGAGCACCGTGACAGCTGGCCGGCTCAGAGGATCAGGCGAGTATAACTTTGCTATTTTAGCACCTAGACAAAAAACAGCATTTAACCCTTGCAAATGTAAGAAGACTCGCTGGGTGACATGTTGTTGGGATGATACTTACGGGAGATTCCAGGGTAAGTTCCCCTTGAGACCAATTCCCATATTATTACAGGCAGCTGCAATCAATTTGATTGGTTTGGATGTGATGGGTACATCTGATTTGGACATGGCAGATGCTGAAAAAAGAAAAAGGAATTTACTAAATCTGATCTCCATGTGGATATGAAAACAGAGAAAACACTCACATACTGTACATACAGTTTATTCATTGGTCTTCATCTTTAAAGTATATGTAAACCATACCAATGACGTTCTGTTATTTAATCCTTTTTGGTCTGGTAAATATGATATCTGTTTGATAAGTGCAAAAAAGTTGATCATATCAGAGATTCAGAGTTGTCCTATGCACACGTCCTGAGTTATGTCAAGAGGTCTAATTAACCCTCCTAGCACTCATCTTGGACTACAGAAGAATATGTGGTGGAGAATAGGGTAGGGGACGACTGAGCAAAAGAGAATCAGGCAGGGCTGACACCACTCCATTAAAAAAAACTGCTGTGTGTTGTCGGCCCACCTTGCATTTCTGGGAAATAAACAGATATTTTTCTGTACTTTAGAGAGATCAATATGGGCAAATTGCATGTATTGCAGAGATGTGCTGCATATGTATTTTTTTTTTGCACTGATTTACACTTTAAATCCTATTAAAAGTACAGTAACCTTGAGAGAATCTATGCTACAGGAGTGTTGTTTTTAAAATACAGGCATATTCATTATAGAGTGGCATGAAATCACATCTCAGATGTATATAATAACTGCAATAGCCTGACTAGAGGAATAGAGCTTCCAGAAGGAATGGATTCTTGTATACTTTACCAAATAAATGGGTAGTAGACTGTGGCTGTGTGGTTAATCAATTGCTCCAAGACAACATAATGCAAACTGCAATACATAATATGACCACTAGATGGCAGTGCTTCACCTCACAAGTAGGACTGAGATGAGAGCACTTGTACAAGGTTATATGCCTGTGTCATGACTTCTCTTCCTAGGCTCAGTGGCTTGCTGTATGCTGCAAAAGCTCCTCCACATTGGTTATGCACAGCGTAGGAGAGATATGTAAAAGCTCAACTCGTATCTTTCCAGTGATCTTCACTCGCTTTAACTGGACCTTTGGAATATATAACTTAAGCTCACCACACACAAGTTACAATGTGATTGTATATTCTCCTTTAGATCTACCAGCAACTATGTAATGCAAGAGCCTACCTGATTGGATACAAATTATTTGGATAGACTAGGTAGGTCCCAATATTACATAGTTTTGGTAAACCTGAACATTGTACGTCAGATTGTAACCTGTATGGTGATCCATGTCCCAGATAGCAAGCAATTGAGCTGCAAGCTTGAAAATTACTTCCTAAACTATTGCAGACTTGCCAAGCTTCACAATGTTGTTGCATAATTACAGCAAGTCTGCATTGCAAGTCTCCAGATCAACGTGCTTTGCAAAGGAGCTGTATACTTGCAGAGTTCCTGCTAAGACCTACAAGACTCTTGCTGTAGACTTGCCAAGCAAATTTGCTACAAATTAAAAGATTGTCAACTAGAACTTGTGCTGCAAGTCTACAACTTGCCAGGAATGTGTGCAACAACTTGCCAGAATGGGTGCAACAACTTGCCAGGAATGTGTGCAACAACTTGCCAGGAATGTGTGCAACAAGTTAACAAGAATTACAATTTAACCCTGCCACAAGTTTGTGGCAAGTTATCCTTGCTATCTGGGGTTACTGCCTGGGAGAAAAGGGGTGATCATATCTCCTTTTAGGTTGGGATTGACCTATTATAGAGCCTGACAGCTCTCCTTTTCTTAATTCTATACAGCTCTGCTGCTGACATCACACCCTTCCTGCATATGATGGATGAGCCATGACACTGATGTGACTGGGAATAGAATAATTGTGTTGCACAAAAACTCCACTTCCAGTGTATACAAAGTGAGTGTCCACAAATACCTGTATGGACTGGCAAATGGAGAAATAAATGAATGTAAAAAAAATAAAAAATATAGCCATGTATTCTTTTGCATCCTCTTCTCCGCTCTCATTTGTCTTATCTCACTTTGTCTTATCTAACTAAATTCCATTCCCATGCTAGGATATGCCTCCTATTTTGCTATAAACTACACTCCTTTTTTTCATTAAAAGGAGAACTATGGGGTTAAGGCTTTTCCCCATAGTTCTCCTTAGGGTAACGGGAGGACACAAACTAGCGTCCTCCCGTCACCCTAGGCTCAGTATACAGGGAGCTGTAGCTCGCGGTATACTGCGGCGTCTCAGTATACCGCGAGCTACAGCTCCCTGTATACTGAGCCTAGGGTGACGGGAGGACGCTAGTTTGTGTCCTCCCGTTACCCTAAGGAGAACTATGGGGTTAAGGCTTTTCCCCATAGTTCTCCTTTAAAGCCAATAATCTGTTGTGTATGACATTTCCCGATGAATACATACGCATGGAGAACACTTTCCTCTCAGAAAGCAAAAAAGGTTCTCGTTTAAAGGAGAACTAGGAGGTGAGTGCTTTTCACTCATCTCATAGTTCTAGCCGACCTGTGACAGTCTCATTGTCACAGGTCGGCTAGAACTATGAGGTGAGTGAAAAGCACTCACCTCATAGTTCTCCTTTAAACGAGAACCTTTTTTGCTTTCTGAGAGGAAAGTGTTCTCCATGCGTATGTATTCATCGGGAAATGTCATACACAACAGATTATTGGCTTTAAAGGAGAACTATGAGGTTAGTGCTTTTCACTCATCTCATAGTTCTAGCCGACCTGTGACAATGAGACTGTCACAGGTCGGCTCAGTAGATCGGGAGGTGAGCGAACACATACCAGCGTTCGCTCACCTCTCGATCCTGTCACGGCTCTCTGCCGTGACAGGGGAGGGGCTGGATTCCCCCCTCCCCGCACCGCCAGCGCTGACTGGCGGAACGGACAGGGAGGGGGCGGGTACAGCTGGCTCTGCCTCTAGATAGGCAGAGCCAGCTGTCACTCACACAGCTGGGCGGATCCAGACATAATTGTCGGGATCCGCTTCAGCTGCGGCGTCTCAGTATACCGCGAGCTGTATACTGAGATTACAAGGGAGCTGCTGACTGCAGCAGAAAGTTTCTTTCATATCTGAGGAGGAAATAGTTAATATGCTGGCAGAGGCACATTCTCTCAGGTTGCACAATTATGCCCTTCCCTTTGTTTTAGTCTGTAATGAATTATAAGGACATGAGTCCTTATACAACTTCATGGAGATAAATTCTCTACTCCCTTAAATGACCTCCCTAAAGCTCTAGCTTCATAGATCAATTTGTACTTGGGAATCATGTCCTCCACTAGTTTTACAAAGACATGGGCCGAAGGAGGATGGGGTTGCTTTGAATGCAGTAATATGGCCTTATGGCCATAGAAACATAGGCACTGAAGTGAACACATTGCAGAACGATCAATAAAAGTGCCACAATACCCAATAAACAGGACAGATGGGATAAAGGGAAACCTAACATCTAGTTTAGTTTGTACTTGTAGCATATTGTGAACCAGAGTCTTTTTAATTGAGAATCTTCTGGCCCTTCAAAAAAAAGAGTCTCTTGCAAACAAAATGATGTGAGGCTGATAAGTCTGAGAAGTTTAAACATGTGAGTATACTTAAATTCCATGAACTTATCGTAACAGTAGGCATAATAAGAACAATTAGAGACACTAACCAAAAACATGTGAGGAGTCCCAGGCTGCCATGTTATGCCAACCAAGACAGGGTGGGTCTGATTAGGTAACACACACAACCAGGCACACGAGGCACAAGAAATACATGTAGCAAATAGAACAGGGAACATCAAAATAGCAAATATAACATTGTGTAACAGCCTATGTCCAACTCAACCCCAACGAGAGCGGGCCTAAACCCATAACTAACCAAAAAAAAAACGGGAGTAGTGACCAAACTGGAAACAGTTAAATACACACAAGGTTCCACTAGCACATTTCCCAGGAAAATGGTGGAGTTTGCAGGGGGAAAGGCATTAAATTAACAAAGGCATGAAAACATATGGATCATGATAGAGTAATCCGGGAAGAGGGAGACCATAGCGTTGTTACTTTTCAAGGAAGCCACACAGCCCCGTCAAGGCAACTATTTAAAGTGTGGTGCTAACTCTATTTATATGAGTCTCCAAGTGGGAGCATATTAATGCAGTCAATAAATTAAATGCAGGAGGTAGCCTACTCCTCCTCACAAGGTGCAGGGACGCACTGGAGGCCCAGCAACCACAGAAGCATGCTGGGATCCCCAATGCGTCCCCACATCCAAGATAGTCAAACTAGAAAAAGACTATCTTGGATGTGGGAACGCATTGGGGATCCTAGCATGCAGAGGTAATTAAAAGGAAAAGCACCTGGACGAATTGCGGTAATCGAGCGCACGTATTTTCGTCTGTGCATGTGCAGTGTAGATCGTACAAATTTTGATGTACAGAAACGCAACCAACCTTGCCAAAATCGCACGATCGACCAAAGTTTTCTAACCTGCTGGTTAGTCAAAAGTCGATTGATTGTACAGTATTTGCGGTTGTACACTGTCCATCAACCTTACGAATATCGGACGAAAATGCGATCGCATATGAAAATCGGACGATATTTGTAAAGGTGTATGGGCACCTTAAGGAAGTGAGGGCGCTTTTTACAACACAGTGCCTCTTACCCGTCTGACACCCACTCTTTCTACTTTGAAATTGAGAGTTGAAATTTCCACAAAATGTTGCCAAAAGTGGAGACATTTTAGGGAAATTTTATCTTCGTGGCAAAATGCCTTAAAGTCAACGGGGAAGGTGAATGGTCATTTTAAAAGGGCCTTTAAAGGGCTCCTGGGAAGCGAAGATGTAGAAATCAATTTTTCATAAACTTAATTAACCTCTTGCCGTCCGCCCGTTAAGAAAAAACGGACGGACGGCTGACTTCTATCTGCGGGTTGCCGTCGCCAGACGGCATTTTACACTACAACATAATTCATACTGCATGATGACAGGGAACAAATACAGCAATCTCATTATCTCAGCTCAGAATGGGACCTGTGTTCTACTCTATGGAAGGATCTTGCGTGTATAATGTACATTTATGTAATTAGCAATTGCATCATCAACGCATGTCAACACTGGGTGTGAAGGGAATTGGTTGTTAGAAAGGTAAGTAATGTTATGTAACTAAGAAGCAGCTGCTTTATAAAAGGACACTGCCACTGAAATAATATTAATCAACAGATTTCAGATCAATCTGATAAGGTTATTCCCTCCAAAGACCGGTCTTTCAGGTTTAGTAAATGCTGGCTGGTTTACCTGTGCCAGCAATAATAGAACAGCTACATGGGTGCTATTTAGTTGGCTCCATCAAAGAGACCAAAATCATCCATAATATATAGTGGAAAAAGATCACTGCAAAAGAAATATGCTTAAAGTGCATGTCTGGGAAGAAGAACAAAAAAAACCATATGCAGTGATATCTGTGATACATGGATATTTCCCCATGTTTTATTTCTTTAAAACACTGCAAGTACAGAACACTACTTGTTGACCTGCCAGAAATCCAGTGAGCGCCTAACTTCCTGCAAACTCAGCCTCTGTTGCACTGGATTCATGGGTTATGGGTCATAGTTCTCCTTTAAGTAGTGTTATCAGCCTTGCCCAGCTCATTTTGTAGATTACAAAATATCTCCCTCTTATGGAGTGACAACTCTAAATCCTCCATAGATACGGTACAGTAGTTGAGCGTTGTCACCTTACGACAGGAAATGTTTTACTGGCAGGCTCACCTTGTGAAAATAAAGGGAAAAAGCCTGAACCAAAATGAATGAAGACCCAACAGCTAAGGACTGGTACATTTTGGCTATGCATTATAGTTTAGATACACTTTGTCAGTATATTTGGAGCCTGAGGAGCTAGCTACTAGCTTTCTTAATATCTTGGATATTTCAGCAGCAAGACACCCACATTTATTTATTTTTATCAAAAAGAACAACTGTTTTGACTTCCCCAGCAAATAAGATTGCTCCTTTCATTTTTTAATTAGGGGAGTCTCATTAGTTGCCCCAGACTGCAAGACCTGTTCTTGTCCAATGCCCCTTTCACACGGTTGGCATCCATTCCGATCAGCAGGGAATCAGTTCACAGATCCCCTGCTGATTGGAGTGGAGCAGAACTGAGTCTTGCAATGGAGGGAAACAAAACTGAACTGTTAGGTCTATGGGGAGTTGAATGCAAGTGGACATATGTCCGTTTACATCCGATTACCTCCGGTCTGTCATATTCAGGTCCACCAAAAGAGAACTCGGGACCTAGACAAACTTGTCAGTGATTGGATGTAAACGGGCAGAGGTCTGCTTACATCTAACTCTCCATAGATTACCTTGAGCTTCCAATCATGTCCTCCTGTGTGAAGGGGCCTGGGAAACCATGATAAATAGGATTCAATAATGATTATCATCATTTGCAGGATTACAGTAAGCAAGCACATAAAGCAATAATGTTTGGTGGTGCATCTTAAAATGAACCTGTAATCCATTTTGCAAGTTGAAAAGTAAAAACTGAAACCAGAAGATGCCCCCTATTTATTACCTTTACAAGTCTAAAAAGCCTCCTTTGTGCTCTTCGCCGACTTACCTGACTACCATCCAGCTGCCCAGTGTGAATGCACTTACAGGCCACTAAGGCATTCTCATTGGACAGTGCAGTGGCATTTGGCAGAGCTAATCCATGAAGTCAGGCAGTTGAGCCCTAGGAACAAAGTGAACCTTAATCAGAGAGGAGCACAGGCGTGGCATTTTCTGGCCTTTACAGATAATAGCACACATCTTTTGTTGTCTGTTCTGAAAGCACATTTCCGGCCAACCAAAAACCTACCCAACTGTCCCCGCACTGCAAGGGTTACGTTTTCATTATGCCTAGGGGAGGAAAAAGCTGTTTTGTTTACCTGATCTCTGCTTCCACCGTCTCCCCCTGGGTTGCTAGACTGGTTCCCACAGCCTCTTCGCCCTTGGGGTTCTGGCAGTCTAAGAAACACCAAAGTCATCACATCTAATGCAGGCTCCATAGACTAGCATTAGCCATGAGGACGCCAAGGAACAATCCACAGCTGGAGCATAGGGGAAATAAGTGAGAACTGACTGCCGTGGGGGCGGGGGATCAGGTAAGTAAGAGTGTTTTATTCTGGTCCCCTAGACATAGGCAAGCATTTAAACCCTTGTTGTGTGGGGCAGTCCAGCTGCAAGGGTAGTTTTTTGGTTTGCCCTGAGATGGGCTTTAGGCACGATTTTCATCCTTTGAAAGGCCATGGCAGACATGAAATTCACCCAGAAATGGGACCACTTCTGCCCTAGCGTGAGAAGCAGAGAGGGAGATCTCACTGTTCAAGGGACTGAATCCATAGGAAAAGGTTAGTGGTCTGTTAGAGATCCTGTCGCTGGCGAGCTGTTCCCAGCAGCAGGCTGACTCACCTGATATGGTCCTATTGAGAAAAGAGTTTCACTTTAACTACAATCATGTAAAACCTTATTTAGTAAGAGAGTAAGGTTTACCATACGTTACTATCTGACCAGACAATCTTTGTGTAATTCATTTTAGGTTTACCAAAACTATGTAATATGTAGACCTACCTAATCTATCCAATGCATTTACCTCCAATTAGTCAGGCCCTTGTACTACATAGTTGTTGGTAGTTTTAAAAGGAGATTGTGCAATCATTGCGTGGTGCTCATTCAGTAAAGCAAAGAACCACGTATAAATGCAGAAACCCATAACAAACCAATCAGGTTCCACTTTACCTAACTTGGCACAATCAAATATGAATTCTGATTGGCTGCTTCCCATTGCTGTGCTCTTTGCTTTACCAAATTGCATAACAGCCACTGAATTACACAACGCTGAATGTTGAAACATCTGCATCCTGGAAATCAAATGAAAGCAAAGACACATTTCTGTATGAACAGAGAAAGCTGCGTACCTGCAAGGAGAGGCTGTAGCTGCTTTTCTGGGAGAATATTCAGAGCAGATGATGCTTCTGGTATACACGGTTTTGTGCTGCTGCCAGCTGAAAACTCAGAGAGAGAGAGAGCAGATGACGGGAGTCAGGCACACTGAATGAATAAAAAGGGAGAGGGCGGGGCTTACAAATATACAAAAGAGGGGTTTCCAGTTTTCACATTTTCATCCTTACAAGGAGGAAATCAGTGTTCGGTTTCAAAGCTGTCACTTAATGCTAATCCCTAAATTGTAATCAAAACAACACTATCCCCTTAGCAAAGAAATCCCACGTTAGGAGCTGTCAGCTGAACAAGTAACTCAATGAGTGTATAATGTATAAAAAATAGTATTTTTAATTAACATGAAGCAGTACAAATCATAAATCACCTAATACACAACATTTAAAATCTTTAAAAGGCTTCCCTTGAATAGCCCAAGTATTGGATAGGACAGTCGGGGTTAATTAACCACCAAACTAACAGGCAGTCACTGGTATAAGTAGATGTGCTATATGGAAACAGCAGATACAATTGTATCAACACACAGCAGGGTTACTCACTTCATGTGTGGCCACAGAGTGAGAGTCCATCTGAGATTCCGTGTTGGATGTAAATAGGATGTTTTAATGGAGCATATCCATATAATGATTTGCAATCCCAGACGTTGTTTTCATTGTGCTTTTAAAGATCGCATGGTTTCTCTTATTTCTCGCCCGGATTAACATCAACCGAGGAGGGTGGGAATATTTCTCCACATTTGGAATGACCCGAGGGTCTCCCTTGCGAGTGCGGCCGCACGGTAAGGCAGGGATAGATGAAGTTCCAGAGGCAGTGTGCTGGATCAGAAGTCCGGCTGCTATCTGATGGTCAAAGCAAATAAGCTGCACTCTGTCCAGGTTCAGAATCAGTGGACCGTGCTGTTGCTGCTACGGTATGTAGATCAGTTCCGCCCAATTTAGTTGGTGTATTGAAAGTTCGCCACCCAACAAAGCACAGGCAGTGAGTCCAAGGTGTCCAGGGTGTCAAGGGAAGTCAGCAACACGCTGTCCCTAACGCGTTTCCCCCCAGCAAGTGGGGCTTCCTAACGAAATGTAAAGTAAATGATCAGAAGAGAAAACCAAATCAAATCAATATTTGGTGTGACCCTCCCCCCCTTTGCCTTCTTCCAGGTACACTTGCACACAGGTTTTCAAGGAGCTCGCCAGGTAGGTTGTTCCAAACATCTTGGAGAACTATGCACAGATCTTCTGTGGATGTACGCTGCCTCAAATCCTTCCGTCTCTTCATGTAATCCCAGACAGACTTGATGATGTTGAGATCAGGGTTCTGTGGGGGCCAAACCATCACTTCCAGGACTCCTTGTTCTTCTTTACACTGAAGATAGTTCTTATTGACATTGGCTGTATGTTTGGGATCGTGGTCCTGCTGATGGTATGGCACGATGAATAAGGATCTGCTTGTATTTCTCAGCATTGAAGACACCATTGATCTCCAACTCCATTGGTAGAAATGCAGCGCCAGACTTGCAAGGAACCTCCGCCATGCTTTACAGTTGGTGTAGACACTCATCATTGTACCGCTCTCCAGCCCTTCGGCAAACAAACCACCTCCTGCTACAGCCAAATATTTCACATTTTGACTTATCAGTCCAGAGCACCTGCTGCTATTTTTCTGCACCCCAGTTCCTATGTTTTCCTTGTTTCCACATCGATAGATAGATAGATAGATAGATAGATAGATAGATAGATAGATAGATAGATAGATAGATAGATAGATAGATAAATAGATAGATAATAAATGAAAGCCATACACTTGGGTAAAACACACATTTGTAAACTGTCTTGCCTGCTGAAGGATTTCCAGTTCTGTTTGGCCACTTTAGTGTTCTGAGCACTCCTGAGAGAAAGCACAGCTGGGTTGGTTATCTCCACTGCAGCCTGGCCACCAGCTTTCTAACTGTATGATGAGGAGTCAGCAGCACATTAACCTCCCTGGCGGTATCATTATGCAGGATTTTAGCATGCCAAAGCAGACAATTGTTTTTCATGGCAATTTGTTGTTTTATATTGTAGGCCTGTAATTCTAAGGTCTCGTTCACACCTAGGCGTATTGCATATGCGATTCGCGGTAAAACAAAAGTCGCGCGTTTCCGAAGGCTACTTGGCTGTATCCCAATGGAAACGCGCAACAAAACGGCCCAAAGTAGTACCTGTACCTTTTCAGGCGTGGGCCGTTTTGTAGCGCGTTAGGGACGGGCGGAAATACGCCAAGGTGGGAACGAGACCATGGAATACAATGGGATTTATATTTTTGAGCGTTTTGTAGAGCGATCGTCGAGCGTAGAACGCGCTACAAAACGTTCAGGTGTGAACGAGGGCTTATAGTAAATCTTAGGAATAACTCACCTGTCCAAACAAGAGTCCAGTAGACATCCCGGGTATGATAAATTTGAAACATAAAATCATAAATTATAATATAATAAATAATTATAAAAAATTATAATATAATAATTAAAAAAATGGTCCAGTAAATGGGAATTCTGGGGGCGCTGCCTGATCCGTACCACAGTCAATAGATTACAGTAAAAGGGCAGGCAGGGCACTGGACAAAGCTCTAGGGACAACATTGAAGTGAAATAGTTTGATACATAAGTGTAATTATAGCAGATTACATTGTATTGTGTGTAATCCGTGTAAATGTCATGTTTGCACTTTTGAATTTCCCACCGGCTCCGCTCCCCGCTGTAACGCCCGAAAACGAAACTGAAAGCTGAATGCGAGCATCGGCCGGGCGAACACAGCAGAGGACACCGCGGGCTCGCAGGGACAAGGTAAGTGACACTTTTGCGCAATCTCGAGTGTGGCACGGGGTTACCGCTCTTGGTACTGAAAATTAACCCTGAGCCACACTCGGGAATACCGCCAAGGAGGTTAAAGGGATCCTGTTCCCCAGCAGACTCAGGGGGACTATTTCTCAAGGTCAAAGCAATGTTTAGCTGCATGGGCAACAGGAGGAATAAGTATATAGTCTCTTCTTTAAATAAGAACTCTGGGTAAAAAAAAGTTTAACCCTTGCTGGGTTACCAAGGGGTTAAGTGCTTGTTTAAGTGCTGCAAGGGTTAAGTGCTCATTTTGCCTAGGTTCAAAAATAACAAAGTTATATTCAACCGATCTTCTGAGCCAGGTGGGTGTGACAGTTCTCCCTCCTGCCTGTCTCCTCCTCCACTGCAGCAATGGTATGTCCCTCGGCGTACTCACATCCCATACACAGTGTATAGAACGTGATGACTCAGGGACCTTAGACCGCTGCATCGGAGGAGAAGTGAGGCAGAAGGAACTGGTCTAAGAGCAAGCCGGCTCTGAGGATCAGGTGAGTATAACTTTTTATGTTACCTGGGAAACAATTAGCGCTTAACCCTTGCAGTGTGGGATAGCCCTATTGCAAGGGTTAATACGAGTTCTGCTTTAAAGGAGTATGACTTGATTTGGCATGTTTAGAAAAAAGAAACTGTTCAGTACAACTTTGCAATATTATCACATTTTCCCATGATTTGTCTCTTTAGTGCTGCACATGCGGAACAATGCCTGTTGATCTGCCAGAAATCCAGTGATTGTTGGTTATGTGTTTAGATGATGCACTGAGATCTTGAGGAATGCCTAATTAAGCTTTACTTGCTTAGAAGAACATTATATCAGAATACAGCATTATAGCATAGAACAGGAAACACACATATAGACTATAGACCAAAGCATGCATATAGAAAACCAGCATAGACCAGACCTGCACCACAGCCCCATCTAGTGCCCAAAAGATAATACTACATCAGCATAAGCTGTTGTATTTCCAACACTGGCAAAGCTGCATCTGCTGCATTGAAACCCCCTAGCAGTGTTATTGTCCATGTCTGAGTTCTCCTTCCGGAATACAGTCCACCTTCCCCTCTTCTCATCTCCGTAAGAGATAAGGGGGAGGTGTTGTGAAGCCCAGCAGGGAAGAACTCAAACAGGACTGACAACATCGCTTAGGATTTCGACGCAACAGATTTTGCAGGACTGATGTCCTGTCTTAATTTCCCACAAGGACCACTATCTGCATAGATCCACATTTGTATGAACACAAATGTAATATATTGCAGGTTACCAGTCCTTAGGTGCGGTGGCTGCATTTATTTAATGCAGGCTTTTTAGTTTATTCCCACCTGCCAGTAACGCACTTCCTGTCCTAGGGTGATGACGGTCTATCACTGTACTGTATCTATGGAGAAGCAGTGTTGTCATCCTAGGACAAGACTATAGAAAAGCTTCCCCTCTCCTCATCTCCATAACAGCAGGGATCCCAACCTGAAAGAAGCAATTTCAGGGAGGTGTCCCTCTCATTTCAGGGATGTGCCCTCCCCCCCCCCAGATTCCTATTGGCTATTTCACTTTGCAATAGTACACTAGCTATTGCACCCGCCCTCTGCTGCTTTCAATCACCAGAAGAGGACCTGATAGAAAAATTCAGGTCCCCCTCTGTTGATTGACAGCAGCAGTGGGCTGGTGCATTAGCTAGTTCTCTATTGGATATTGCTCCCGATGTCAGAAAAGAAAAAAAAAAAAACGATCGCAGGGAAAGGTTTAACCTTTCCAGGAGGAAGTGTTTCTCTCCCGGGCGGCCTGGAGCCGCTATCTACCGTAATAGCGGGAGACTACCGGAGCGTCCGGGAGAGTTGGGATGTCTGTAACAGGGAGAGGGGAAGCAATTACAGAAGTTCCACCGCTCCAATTCTAAAGCTGCCCATACACCTTGCGATCATCGGACGAAACTTTTCGTCCAATGATCGAACCGATGTACGATTTTCATACGGCGGCCCCATCCTGCCCCGATTATCGCAAGGTTGAATCAGCAGTAATTAGAAGAAAGCACCTGGACGAATTGCGGTAATTGACCGCACGTATTTTCGTCTGTGCATGTGCAGTGTAAATCGTACGAATTTTGACGTACGGAAACGCAACCAACCTTGCTAAAATCATACGATCGACCGAAGTTTTCTAACCTGCTGGTTAGTAAAAAGTCGATCGATTGTACAGTATTTGAGATTGATGGACACTGTCC